CGAAAGTCACCAATGGAAAGGCAAAGGCCAATACGAACGTTCCTGAGCAATGTATATATTGTATATGAAATATACATATATACATATGTATGAAATTACTTATTATATGAAATATAAATATACCTCTTCAGTATATGAAACGGAGTAACTATTTCTCGTTCAGCGAAGCTCGTTTGCAGTCTTCTATAATCTAAATAATCCGTTTTAATTCTTCACAATTCCTGGTCCAAATCTACTCTCCCGGATTCATCTTACTCGTAAATTGACAGAGTTTGTGGTTCAGCATTCAGGCAGATAGATTATCTTTATTGACATAATGTATTAGTACAATGAACAAGATCTTTCATCAATTTGTTTGCAGAAATTAGTCAATGATCAAATCCATCATTTCTATATCATTTAGCTTCGTGGAACTACACACACGTATTTGAGGATTCGGAAATCTGTTCCGGATCACCTCCTGTAGAATGTATACCAGTATTAAGGTAGAATGTAGTCTACGTTTGTGGTATACGTAGAATCTATCCTACGTATTCTAGAATACATAAGCGTCAGATATTTCTGTCTAAACGTAGAATGTATTCTACGTTTGTAGAATACGTAGAATGTATCCTACGTATTCTAGAATACATAAACGTAGGAAGTTTCCGTATAAACGTAGAATATATTCTACGTTTGTCTGATGAAAAATAAACTTTAAAAAAGTCATCACCGATCTAATGTATTATGTTCGATCATTTCAATCAAATACTTTTAGATTCCGGTTGTAGTACAATATTAATTTGAATGAATAACAAAAGCTAAAATGTTAATTTTAACATATAATAAAAGCTGATGTTAATTTAACATCAATAATTATTTTTTAACACGCTTGAAGAACTAACAAAATCTAGAGTAACAACATTAACAATTTTAACAGTCATATACCTTGAACCTAGACAAGGTAAAATATGGTGAAGAAAGCCACTGTATCGTCACCATTACAATGCTACACCATGAGGAAGTGATTACAAAACCCTCCTGTAACCTCCAGGTTACAGGAGAGTTTTGTAACTCTCCTGTAACCTGTAATCTCTCCTGTGATTACAAAACTCTCCTGTAATTACAAAAAAGCAGCCAAGGTCATTGCCTCATCGGCTGGTGCAATTGATTTCCGGTTCAGAGGTTATTGAAGACATCACCGAGCTCAGGTCATTCACGAATGCATTGAACGATCGTTGAAGTCGTTTGGAAAGTAGTTAGTAATATCAGCAAATCCCAAGTCCTAGCAAATGCAATTTTTTCTTTCATATTTGTTTTTTATTTTGAAGCATGATGAACCCAAAAGGTTTTATTCTGAGGATCAAAACCCTGTGTTTAAGGCCATGATAGCTGGTAGCCCCAGGGTCTATCATGATAGCTGGTAGCCCCAGGGTCTCTCATGATAACTGGTAGCCCCAGGGTCTACCATGATAGCTGGTAGCCCCAGGGTCTACCATGATAGCTGGTAGCCCCAGGGTCTACCATGATAGCTGGTAGCCCCAGGGTCTACCATGATAGCTGGTAGCCCCAGGGTCTACCATGATAGCTGGTAGCCCCAGGGTCTACCATGATAGCTGGTAGCCCCAGGGTCTACCATGATAGCTGGTAGCCCCAGGGTCTACCATGATAGCTGGTAGCCCCAGGGTCTACCATGATAGCTGGTAGCCCCAGGGTCTCTCATGATAACTGGTAGCCCCAGGGTCTACCATGATAGCTGGTAGCCCCAGGGTCTCTCATGATAACTGGTAGCCCCAGGGTCTACCATGATAACTGGTAGCCCCATGGTCTCCCATGATAACTGGTAGCCCCAGGGTCTCCTATGATAACTGGTAGCCCCAGGGTCTCCCATATGATAGCTGGTCGCCCCATGGTCTCCCATGATAACTGGTAGCCCCATGAACTCCCATGATAACTGGTAGCCCCATGATCACCTATGATAACTGGTAGTCCCCAGGGTCTCCCATGATAACTCGTAGCCCCCATGGTCTCCCATGATAACTGGTAGCCCCCATGGTCTCCCATGATAACTGGTAGCCCCCAGGAGTCTCCCATGATAACTGGTAGCCCCAGGGTCTCCTATGATAGCTGGTAGCCCCAGGTTCTCCCATGATAACTGGTAGCCCCATGTTCTCCCATGATAACTGGTAACCCCCAGGGTCTTCCATGATAACTGGTCGCCCATAGGGTCTCCCATGATAACTGGTAGCCCCCAGGGTCTCCCATGATAACTGGTAGCCCCCAGGGTCTCCAATGATAACTGGTAGCCCCCAGGCTCTCCCATGATAACTGGTAGCCCCAGGTTCTCCCATGATAACTGGTAGCCCCAGGTTCTCCCATGATAACTGGTAGCCCCAGGGTCTCTCATGATAACTGGTAGCCCCCAAGGTCTCCCATGATAACTAGTAGCCCAATGATCTCCCATGATAACTGGTAGCCCCGGGTCTTCCATGATAACTGGTCGCTCCCAGGGTCTCCTATGATAGCTGGTCGCCCCTAGGGTCTCCCATGATAACTGGTAGCCCCATGGTCTCCCATGATAACTGGTAGCCCCAGGGTCTCTCATGATATCTAGTAGCCTCATGATCTCCCATGATAACTGGTAGCCCCCAGGGTCTCCCATGATAACTGGTAGCCCCAGGGTCTTCTATGATAACTGGTAGCCCCATGGTCTCCCATGATAACTGGTCGCCCCAGGGTCTTCCATGATAACTGGTAGCCCCAGGGTCTCCCTTGATAACTGATAGCCCCCCTGATCTCCCATGATAACTGGTCGCCCCAGGGTCTACCATGATAACTGGTAGCCCCAGGGTCTCCCTTGATAACTGGTAGCCCCATGATCTCCCATGATAACTGGTAGTCTCAGGGTCTCCAATGATATCTAGTAGACCCTGGGTCTCCCATGATAACTGGTAGCCACCAGGGTCTCCCATGATAACTGGTAGTCTCCAGGGTCTCCCATGATAACTGGTAGCCCCCAGGGTCTCCCATGATAACTGGTAGCCTCATGGTATCCCATGATAACTGGTAGCCCCAGGGTCTCCCATGATAACTCAACCCGAACGGGTTGGATAACTAGTAGCCCCATGATCTCCCATGATAACTGGTAGCCCCCAGAGTTTTCCATGATAACTGGTAGCCCCCAGGGTCTCCCATGATAACTGGTACCCCCCAGGGTCTCCCATGATAACTGGTCACCCCCCAGGGTCTCCCATGATAACTGGTACCCCCCAGGGTCTCCCATGATAACTGGTAGCCCCATGGTCTCCCATGATAACTAGTAGCCCCATGATCTCCCATGATAACTGGTAGCCCCCATGGTCTCCCATGATAACTGATAGCCCCCATGATCTCCCATGATAACTGGTAGCCCCATGCACCACGTGTTCCAATCATCCCCTTGAGGAAAGTATTGCTCTGAAAGAACCAATTAACGAATGAAATAACCGGTAATTTTTTTTTTTTGCTTTTAACTAACAATACATATTCGGGAGAGAGATAAATGTGGGGTAGGAACTATCAATTTCAATTTCTAATTAAGCACTAATGAGTTTGGGTTGAAATACTGCGAGATAAAACCAACTGGAATCATTATTACTGACAATTACACAACTAATAAACAGCGATGCTGGAACGAGGGGGGGGGGGCACTGTATGTAATAGTTGTTACTGTGGAATAGTTGTTAGGGGCTCTGGGGGTGCTTGTTGGGGGGAGAGGGAGGAGGGGGGGTGGTGGAATGGTGGTGCTTGCTTGGGGTGGGTGGGAGGGGGATGGTCTTTTTAGACTCTCCAGCAATAGGTATAACAATATATATATATATATATATATATATATATATATATATATATATATATATATATATATATATATATATATATATCTATATATATATATATATATATATATATATATATATACATATAAATTATTTAGGTGTTTTTGTATATGCTTCTCGCGTGATACTACGTGGGAATGAAGCCCTGGGATGGGAGGGGGGATGGGAGGGGGGATGGGAGGGGGGATGGGAAGGGAGGTTTCTGTTGCAGTAATCATTGGAGAAATCATTAGGTGGTGGTGAACGAGCACTGCAAGCCACTGTGGAGGGTCTGGTCAAGCTGTTTATTGGGTGAGCGTGTTGCGTGTTGCTCCTGGGATGGGTGGGAGAGGGGGTGTGTGCTCCTGGGATGGGTGGGAGGGGGGTGTGTGCTCCTGGGATGGGTGGGAGAGGGGGGTGTGTGCTCCTGGGATGGGTGGGAGGGGGGTGTGTGCTCCTGGGATGGGTGGGAGGGGGGTGTGTGCTCCTGGGATGGGTGGGAGGGGGGTGTGTGCTCCTGGGATGGGTGGGAGGGGGGTGTGTTCCTGGGATGGGTGGGAGGGGGGTGTGTGCTCCTGGGATGGGTGGGAGGGGGGTGTATGCTCCTGGGATGGGTGGGAGAGGGGGTGTGTGCTCCTGGGATGGGTGGGAGGGGGGTGTGTGCTCCTGGGATTGTGCTCCTGGGATGGGTGGGAGGGGGGTGCTCCTGGGATGGGTGGGAGGGGGGTGTGTGCTCCTGGGATGGGTGGGAGGAGGGGTGTGCTCCTGGGGTGGGTGGGGACCATGGTGGTGCTCCTGGAATGGGTGAGATCCCAAGGAACCATACCATACACAAGTCAACCAAATGTAAACAAAGATCAGCTGATCTTATACAACATTATATTGACCCTTAATATATAGCTGGTATATGTATATACTAAACCTTAATTATATAGCTGGTACTATATTTGTGTAAAATAAACAAAACCTAAAGTACAAAAGAGATTTAAATTTAATAATTAAACGAACGTCAAGTATATGACTGTTTAGGCTCACCTGGTCTAAGGTAATGGTTTGTTCTTTGTTCAGGATTAGTTTGTTTGTTCTGTATCTGGGATTAAATATTTACACTTGTGCGGTACAGTGCACCTTCAAGCAGGCTGGGTGGTACAGCTTGCACCTCTGTAC